TTTCATTTTTAACCTCGTTTGTAGCTAAGAACTGAAAAGGTAATGGTGTTGGTGGTCCTATTGTCGACGCACTCTACACTTTCGAAATTGCACAATAAATTTGGAATTGTAAATTCGAATTTCGTGCGCTTCGTTGCAGGTTTTGCCAGTTTGCAAAATAGAAAGAGGAGTTTCAATTTTTTTCGAATTCATTCCATTGTGGTCGGTCATGATTGTGTGATATAGATAATAGTCTTATGAAAGAAAATGGATTAAAGGAAGGTAATAAATTTTAACGAAAAACACATTTCTATACTATAAGAAGATTTATTCGCTGATTATGGTATTAAAAATTGAATGTTCACTTCTAATGTAATCAAGGAGGACTTGTGTGAAATTATTCTTACTTTTCAGTAGTATGCTCTGTAAATAATGTAAAATTTAAATTTATTCATGTTCGTTGTTTTAAAAATAAGAAATTACTACTCTTCGTGACACTAGAAATAAATGCAGATAGGCACGAGTGGTGATTCGTACGAATTATATATTTTAAAGTTATAACTGATTTTTGAGTATGGCAGAATTTTTTTTAATATTATACAATTTATATATAATAATATATTAATAATATATTATTAATATTTAATTAATAATATTTTAATATTACGCAACTTGTTTAGACCGTGCGAAAAAGTATGTGCTGATGTAGCCCCTCTAGTTTTATATAGTACAACATTTACTTTGCATTTGTTCAATCAACACTTAAACTTGGCATAATAATTTAAGGCCAAGCATTAGATTCAAAATATTCTAAAAAAAATATCTTCCAGACAACATAGAGAACACATACTGTAAACCCTAATTTAGAAAGACTTTGTATATTTTCACTACTTTGCACATGGAAAAAAATAAGTTAACACTACCAACAATATTGACTCATACAAGTTTAATACAAGCCTACACTTACACTAGCTCAACCTTCACCAACCGCTGTGTATAAGCACATTTTATACCAAAAACGTACAGAAATGCAAATTTTAGAAACCGAGCCCAAATCTTTGTTATTTCTACCCAGAATTTTTGAGCAAGCACGTTTGCTGTCAAACCTATCAACATGCTTTAGGTTACGCGTCTTGTTACATCCTTATTATATTATAATATTAATAACCTAACCATATACCATTAATTATTTTTATGGCTCAATTATCACTAAATCACAATTATTTAAGTTAATCATTTTTTCTCTATTCCTTTGTATTATTATTAAAATAAATTTGAAATACTATTGGGAGGAGGACTGTTATTTGTTAATGATATTAGGACACAAACAATTGATTAACACATTTTTATTGCTTTATTTCTTAATACCGAAAAAACTAATGATATGAAAAACTACTAACAAAATAAATGAAACTAACCCATAAACAAAAATATGAAATAAAAATTAACTAATCACTTAATAAGCTGAATTGAACTAACCTAAAAGCAAAAATTCAGACTTTTCGAAAAATCGGGGATGTCACGAAAATCTGAACCATTTTCTAAACGTCTTTTGCACTATATAACAACAAAATTTTATTTAAAAAATTGGAGCCCTTTTGTTTTAAATATCTCAGGGACTTCTTGTAAAGCACCCCGAAGAATTAAATTATCGATTTCAAATTCCAGTGCTCAAAGCAGGGCATCAGCTAGAACGATTGCGGAATATCAATTTTGGAGAAAATCAGCTGAACGGTGTATGAGCTAGAGATTTGCACTGACTGACGGACAGACAGACGATTTGCCGTCAATAGATTTTTCGGTATGAAGGACGCACAAAACATGGATTCTGGCTACACCACGTGTTAGAGGATTTTTTTCGCTACATTTAGGAACTCGATGTGTCCTCTTTTTCCTTACCAAGGCTCGGAGATTTTGTGTCGAAAATTCGTCGTTTCCCGACGCACCATTACAATGCGTTCTTACGTTATGCACAATCTTCTTACGTTAGTAAGTGCGAGAAAGTAAAAATGAGAGACAATAACATCTATTCTTTCTTTGAACATTCTCGCTACTGTGTAGATAGAACGATATGTGATGCTCCACGAAAAAACGACGAATTTTTGGAAGAAAAGTTTTATTGCAGGGTTCTAATAACGGAAAAGTGGATAAATCCAGTAGCTAAATTTAGAAAAAATCCTTTAAGAATCCATGTTTTGTGAGTCCTTGATACCGAAAAATCAATTGCCGGCAAAACGCTTGCGGCTAAACGGTTAAGCCGATTTTCTCCAAAATTGATGTCCCCCTATTAATCTGACTGATGTCGTGGCCTCTTGAATTTCAAACCGATATTTTAATTTTGGGGGTACTTTACATGAAGCCCCCGGGATATTTTCAAAATTTAAAAAAAAATAGCTCCATCGGTTTTGATTAAATTTCGTTTTTGGGTAGTGTAAAAGACTTTTCAGAGAATGGTGTGGGTGTCTTTTTCGTTGAAAACTCTGATTTTTCAAAAATTGAATGTTTTCGGCGTCATCCTACAACTATAATTATGAAGAAATATTTTTCTCTTAATGAAATCTATTCTTTACAGATAGAATTTGATAGAAAGGTCAAATACAATATTTTCAAAAATTACTTAAAATATTACTTTTCTTACGTAATTCTGCGTGAAAGTACGGGTGACAAAGTAAGGTCTGTTTTAGCACCACTAAATTATTCCTAATAATTCATAGAATAATATTTGTCTCGACTCTGGATGAGAATAATTTCCCCCCACAATCCTCAAACATTTCCCTGTCTATTTATGTTCCCCATTCTTTCCTCACAATGAAAAAATATCCTCATTTTGGAGACAAAATTTCCCAATCTGGCTTCCCTGGCCCAACGAATCGCACAACAATAGAGAGCAATCTCCACCTACTGCATATTCGCAATGTCCAAAAATGATACGCTACTCGAACTGCGCATGCACAGAAAATGGATATTGGTATCGATTGCTGTAAGCTTTGCTTAAAGAATTTAATAGAGGCTTTTGTACAGCGTTGAGTACAGCAATCAACAGCAATCTCTTGACCACTGTTACTTTTGAGCATTTGCGCATGTACTAATCCAACTGCGCATGTGCAGCAGAGGCTCGAGATTGTTGTCGAGTTCTGCAAAACGTTTGTTGCAAAATGTTTCTTGGAGTTGAATTAAATTAAAGGGTACTAAATCACCAATAGTTACTTCAATATATTTTTCTCAAATGGAATTTGTCTGTTACTAAGTTTGTTGTTTTAAATTTTATCACGGAAATGCTTATTCAAACTTGTTTCATATTTGAACTCACACATTGTTGATCTGATACATTACATTATTATATATTATTATTGTTACATATAATTAGCTACAATATTATGATATACTAAGAAATAATATCTTGTGATTCTAAAGAGTAAATTAATGAAACTATATGAACCCGTTAAATCACAAACAAAAATTAAATATTTGAGATATGTTATCGTAAATAACGGTAACTGACATTTCACTTTCCTCGGATAATGCAATGGATTACCACAATCCGTATGAAATGAGACGTAATTTACGGGAGGATTATCATTGGTATTTTTTGTGGAATCTTAAAACACCTTATAGTATTGAGAGAGCCAGTACTTCTTGTTCATCCAAGCCAAATACCATTTTTTCACCCAGTGGCGGCACAAGCCAAATAGAAACCCCAAGCGGTAAAAATTTTGGAGTCTTCAAACTCAAGAGTTTGAAATAGAAGTTGCAAGAAATACTCTCATAAACATATTAATAGTAGAAAAGTAAAGACAACGATCTTAAAAGAATAATTCAAAATGAGATTATCAACCACAAAACCTAAAGCAATGGGAATAATAGGCAAAGAATAAAGTAGAATAAAAATAGTACTAGATAATCAAATTATAGGACAAGTAGCAACTTTCACATACCTGGGGAAACAAAATTTCGTTACAAGAGGAAAACAAAGATACAAAATTGGCAAAATACAATAAAATGCATAGATGCATCCAAAGACATATTCACAACATGAATACAGAAACAAAAATTAGACTGCCTAACACTGTATCCACACCAACCGTATTAAGCGAAATTTGGGTATTAATACAGAGACAAGCAAGATCTGAAGCAACCCAAATGTGATATTTAAGAGCAGTATTGAAGATCTCAAGGAAAGATAAGAGTAAGAAACAAACACAGAAAAAAACTTTAAAATGAAGAACATTGTTCAGGAAATAGAGAAGCGCCAAATAAAATGTCATAAACATACAAAAAGAATGAAACCCAACAAACACCCAAAAATGGTAATGAAATACAAGCCACAGGGAAGAAGAGTACCAGGGAGAGGACGGACCTGGAACAATAGCGATTGAGGATGTACTGGAAAGAAAGAACATGTCAAGTGGCCTAAACCTCAAAAGTTTATGATGATGAAAATGATGAAAAGTAATGACAAATTTCATACCGTTACATATTAAATACATTTTTGTAATGTTTACATAAATTTCAATTTTGATTTATTTCTTGCGAAATCATTTATTTTGGTGGTGCTTGAAAGCTTTTAAAATTTTCTGTACTGTATACAAATTGACCAAGTTTTTTAGTCTCTCTTCTCCCATTGTACTGCTTAAATATTTTTTAACTCTTTAAAATTAAAAATGGGATGGTAGCCGTGGCCCGATGAAGGTCCGCTCCTGATTTCATATAAAATGTCAGTTATCTGACACCCATTTCATCTGCGAATCACCCATTTGATTTCATATATGTTTCCTTTCCCCAAACAAAACGTGTTTAAAATGTTGGGTGTCTTAATGTATCACGAAATTTGATTATATATTTTAATTATCGCAGTTGTACGATGTTGTCTATGCTTATTCATGTATTTCCGTCAAAAAGCCCGCCTTGTGTATGTTCCATAATTTGTAACCGGTGCGACTTCTCTAAGAATGCAAACTCGTCGAATATTCGTATAGATTCTCCATGGATAACGTTTTCTGTCCTTGATCTTTTCGAGCGCACCCTAGTCGAACGCGAAATATGGCGGAATAGTTGCTAGGTTTAATGTTGATAATCAAATGTTTTCATTTGCCAAATATCATAAACATTGCTCATTGCTCGGTACATTTTCGTGTATGGTGCATTAAGAGCATTGCCAGTTCCGTTTAAGAAAGTAAAATGTCACTTACGAGAAGTCATGTCCTCTAATTCTCGTGAGCGTCATCAGCGTATGCGAGCGGTAGACTTGTAATTCATGCTGGAGAGCGGCTTTTATTATTGAAAGTAGGAAATGAATGGTTTTACAAACTATTGAGAACTTACATAAAGTGAATTGTATCCCTAAAGCAAAAGCCAAATATCGCAGTGAAGTCGACAATTTCCTGTGTTGACGAACTTGGCAGGAGCAAAAAATAGTGTTTAATTGTCATTAAATATCTGCTGCTGCGAGTTCTGGTTTTGTTAATGTAGTGTTTATTGCAACGTGTGACAGTAATACAATGTGTCCTATCAGTGGAAGTGTTATGTTGTAGACACTTGGAGAATCTTCCTAGAAAAAATCTAGTCTGCATCATTGTCATTACAGAAATGCAATTTTGTGAGATTGTTCTTACCTGTGTTGTTATAATAGAGTAATTAACGATGGCAACCTTTAATGAAGCACAATTTGAAAAGAAACTACATACACTAAAGGATTCACAAGATTCTATACAAACATTGTCAAATTGGTGTCTTCAGCATCGAACTTTTCATAAGAAAATTGTTAGTACATGGTTACGAGTTCTAAAGAAAGGTAAGAAGACATATCACCATTAGAAATGAGCTGGTGAAGATTGGGTATGTTCAAAATTATGTTTAATTTTGTTTTAGTGAAAACTGAACATCGTCTAACCCTCTTTTATTTGGCCAATGACGTTATTCAGTACAGTAAGAGAAAGAATTATGAATTTGTGGAAAGTTGGGGTACTGCGCTCCAAAGAGCCACAACAATGGTGAGGTAAGTACAGATGCGTTATTGAAGAGAAATTTGTAAACTCACAATGCCTCCTTGAATTTGTTGATAAGTTCTATTTATATTCATGCCATTAGATGTGGCATGATTGAATTGATACATCTGTTTGTTACACCACAACAAGTGTGTTTCTTTCACACCAAGCCAGAGTCAATTGTAACAAGTTAATGTAGACTTCTATCAACAAATTAAAGTCTTGGAATTTCTGTGGGATTGTTGGAAGTCAGAGGAGGGGAAAAAGTGTCCATTTCAAGAAATCTGCAGTATGCTTTATGCATGTGATTTACGAAATAAAAGACAATTATTGATCATTTTTTCTTTCTTTTTTTCTCCACACATTGCATTGTTGCAGTAGAATTTGTACTAGTAAATACCTGTTGCATTCAAAGTTTAAAATTTACGTCTGATAGAGGTACAGAGCTTGTGATTCTCAGTCACGTATAGAGTATAAACTCTTTGCTTCTTGAAAATTGTTTTGATTTCTTAACAGTTAGAATAAGTAGAAATAAAAGTCACTTATTATAGTTAGTGATATAGTAATAAAAATTATAGTGGTTATTGTTGAATATAATTCACAAATCGTATATAAATAACAATTTCTCTGATTTGCTAACAAAATTCTGTTGTGCTGTGAGTGAATTCTGAAAATATCATTTCTTCTTTCCTTATTTTGCCTCTCTTACAAAGAATATTGTAATGTACTTCCGGGGGAAAATTGTCTTTCAAATTAAATTTTTAATTATAGAGTAATTTCATTATTTACTCTTCCGTTGTTTTTTCAATTATCAGTCTATGTAAGATTGGTGTCTTATTCGGGTTTGATTTGGAGGGACTATTTTTTATTGGGGGTTTGACAACTGAAATATTAAAAGGGAATTTTTATGAACTCCGAGAAGTTACTTCATTATTCCTCACATTGTTGATTGCAGGGAAGAAAAAGTCAAACACCGAGTTCTTCGAATATTTAAGATTTGGGATGAGCGTGGGATTTATGATGAAGCATTTATTTCGGACTTATGTGGTCTTCTTAGCACCACAACCAAGAAAAATGTTCCTGAAAATAATGCTGATCCAGTGGATTTTCAGGTAAAAATTTATTTGGTGTTTGCGAATCTTGTATTGTGTAAAAACAAGCACATTTTAAATGTGTTATTTTGCAGCCTTCTTCACTCATTAATAAAATACGCAGCTGTAGAAAAATGGAAGATGATACAGATGTTAAGTTCAAGAGGGTCAAGGATAGCCACTTATCTCTCAGTGATGCTGATGCACTTCGCAGTCATCTGAAAGGTAAAATTTTGAAGTCAGAACTAAAAAATTTAACAAATGTAACAAATGTATTGCAAAATATTTTTTTAAATTTACTTACTTTTTATCAAAAATGGTAAAGTTGTTTATGAGATATGCAATGGGGAGAGAATATCTGATGTAGAGAAGTGTATTTTTAGGGAAGCCAAGTATTCATAGTAGTGTAGCAAAATTCACAAGTGTGGTAAATGGAAATCAGAAAAATAATTTTAAACTTCCCCTACCATGTGATTAGTGTGTTAAATATAATCCATACAAAATTTATTAAATTAAAAAATGTTGTCTGTTCAGATCGAAGACAAGGTGATGATGTTGTTGCTGAAGTCGATGAAGGTGTAAGTAAACTCCAAGGGTATGTAAATGCCTTGGAATGTGAGATTAAGGAACGGACAGAATTGGTTGAACTTTTGGAACAAGGTCAAGCATTTTATGACAATCAGAAAGGAGAAGCGAAAGTAGTGGCAAATGTAAGTGAAACTTTAATTGGCCTACAACTTTGGTACTTTTATGTACCAGAGGTTTGTGATCACTATGATGTTATTAAAAGAAATTCACTGGCATGAAAACTTTGTACAGGCCTACAGAAATTTTGGAACAAGAGTGAAGAATTTGAAACGACGGCTTGATGAAATGATGCCCAACTTGAAAGATGTTAGTCCCATCCCATCACCACCCAACATTGAAGATGTGCCATCCCCATCCCCTGACTCAGATGTTGATATTCCTGGATTAAATCCTCCGAATCCTGGTAGGTACATTTTTTTCTTCTTCAAGATTTGTTAATGTTTTACAAACTTGAGAATATAAGAATATTTACTTTTGATTAAACATATTTTAAAAACACAAATATTGAATTGTGTTGATTGTTGCAATGGTTATTGAAGTTCACTTATTTTCAATTACTCTTGTAGTTTTTGTAATTAGATATTGAAAATAAGTGGCCTTGTAGTTGGTGGAATTGGAGTGAAATTAACTCTTCCTTGTGATAGACCTGTATGTGATGGTAGTGATTCATTTATTTTCTCAACAATGTTGCATCAGATTAGTATTCGTGATAAAGACAATTCTATTGTTGCATGTATGTTGTAGTGCCACTATTTCAGTTTGATGTTTTACACATCAATATTGGTTTTCGGTTGGTGGGAAAGGTAACATTCATTAATAAGGCTCGTAAGTTAATGAATAATCATATTTTTAATTGTGAGCTTTATAATATGCTAATTATCAAATGTCCACAAAACACAATCAAATGAACGGAAATTTGGTGATTTTGTATAGGATATTAGTGCACATTTAGTGCATTTTGTGGTAATGCATCCTATTTCTATTATTTTTAATTTATTATTAATATTTTATTGCTTTTTTGTTCTTAATGTGACATATTTCCCTTGGAATTTCAATTATGCATATTTGTCTCAATCAAAAGGTTATTTTACGAATGTGAATGCAAATCCTATTCATGAAAAATCGTGGAAATTTCTTTTGTTCGTTGCAGCAGTATTTGTCAGAAGTTCTTTTGGCTGAAGTCTAGTGTACAGTACAACTTACGGAAGTTGTTTAAACCGGCATTTCGCGCCGATGGTAACTGCTTAGTTTGAATTCTGGAGGCTTTCTTGAAAAGTGCTTTCTTATAGAAGTGAATTGGTAACTAAGCGGTAGATATACTCGAGGATGTTTATAGAGAACGCGAGGGCCAAAGGTCCAAGTATCTCGTGACTTGGATATGGGCGAGCGAAGCGAGAAAACTTGCTGTGAAGCCTTGCCTTGAAAGTAAATTGGCATTACAATGCGGCGCAGGGGCAAAGCATATGAAGGGCGAGCCATGGAAATCGCCTATCCATGTTTCATTCATTTCTATCAGAGCGCGGGCTAAGGAGACCCCAACCCCCGCCGCTACGCTTCCCTGAGGGTTTACTGTGTACTCTACTTAAACCATTATTTTAAATGATATCATGGCGCTGGTATTTGGAAACTATTTGTCTGATTTTGAATGATGTCATAATTTATCTCTGATAAAGTATTTGTGTAGTTGGAATTAATACTATGATGATAACACAGATGAAATCAATATATTTTATTATGAAAATTATTAAAATAGGTATAAAAATGCAAAATTAACTGTTAAAATTATTTTGTAGTTGATCATGAGTACATGAAACTGTTAATAGTTAGAGCATATTTCATTAGTTCTTGCGCATATTTAAAAATCTTAGAGCATATTTGCTTGCATGTTTTCTTTTTGATATAGCATTATCTTCCGAGCCTTATTTATTAATATGCTAATTATTGAATGTTAAAATTACATTACAAATTATATCAGGTAGAAAGATGGTATGTGTCAGTACATTCTATATCATACATAAAGCCCTGTCCATTGTAATGATTCCTGAGCTAAGAAATATTACACTTTGAAGTCACTCATTACTTCTATCCATTCTTCTACAAAGTTACTCGTTATTCCTATCCATTCTTTTTTTGAATTAAGTGTTACAATTGATTGAATTAAGTGTTACAGTTAATACAGTACTGAATGAGCACTATTTGCCAAATTATTTGTTTACAAAATACCGGGACCTTTGTGGTAACTTTTTTTTCTCAAATGCTAAAAAGCATTTTTTAATAGATATTTTTGCTTCCAGATTACATGAACGCATATGTACCACCCCCATCGCAGCCAATTAGGACTGTAATGGAGGATAGCCAAGACAAACCATCTGAAGGTTTTGCCAGCTTTATGGGGAATGCTCTTCCATTTGATGTTCAGGTAATACTTCAGAATTTTGTGTCTATTTTCGCAAATAGTTATAATTGTGAAAAGGTTTTGAACAATTTGGGAATTTTTATGAAAGTAATTTTAAACATAAAATTCAGTTAAGTTCTTTACCAACTTATATTTCATACTCTAAACATTTGAAATCAGGCGTGTAAAATTTGGAATCTTTCATGTGTGCTTTAAAATACAACCATTACATTTGTCTAAATTTTTAACATTAGTACAACAGTATTTTTTATGTGAATGAATACACAATAGAAATTTTAATATTAATTTACTTAATTGTTGCTGTTAAAATTTGTGATTTCATCCGTTTTCTTTTTGAACAATCATGGGAAATATATCTTTATTACATTATAATCTTGAGTGGCTACATTTCATACAAGTTTTATTTTTCTACTGGGTTTCATGAGGATAGTATCCAAAAGACATGTTATGTTTACATGATCCATTTTTTCCGGATTTGATTTTCAGTTAAATTGTGATAGGCTGGTTGCCCACTTGTTTTTGTATTTCATTCTAGCTTTGTTTGTATGCAACATTACATTGCGAAACATTGCTTAATCTGTTAATTTCAGCCTTCCTCATGACAAATCTTGGTAGTCCTTCATGAAGATATCGTGATATTGTATTAAGTTTTCAAATATTCAGTCCAGTCAACATATTCAGGATCAGAATTTTACTACACATTTAATGCTAGTCTCTTAATAAATACTGTTTTAATTAATCCGTGAGGAATATTTATTTTTTAACTTTATTAATTCCATTTGGCATTGTATTTCAGAGTAATTTCTGGCAAAGTGTGAAACGGAGTTTTCAAGCAATTTACTGTCATGATAACCACATTTATTTTTTAGTGAAAATTAACTATTTTGTTATGTATTTTAAAAATATGGTAGTTTGGTATTTCATATTCTGTGAACATGATTGGGAAGTTTTATTTTCACATAACATACATTCTTCTTTGTTAACAGTTTTATTTGTTGGCTGTCTAAAATTGTAACATACGATTTATTTTGCTTCATAAAGGGAAATGTTAATTACGGAATTACACCTGCAGCGGAGTAAATTTATAAGTTTTTATAGTATCATTGTGTCAAGTAATATGTAATCATGGTTTTTCACTGTGACAGTCGTAATGTTTTTGTTACTTTATACTGTTATGCTTCATGATATTTCAGAGCTTTTCACATTTTATTCTATCAAATTACTATATTTTATTTTTTCCAAAATTGTAAAAACAGTTTTGCAATTGTTTTTCTTTTACAGAGATGAATCATAATAATTTGTTTCCTTTATTGTAGTCTCTTCTTTTATGATGTTTTTTATTGAATAAACTTTATCATTGTGAGATTATTTTACAGTTAAAAGGAAAATTGGGGAGCTGTAGGCTGAACGCTTATAGTTCATTATAAATATTTATTGATTGTGGAATTAGTTCCCAACACTATTTATGTATTTATTTTATCTTTCATACTAATAAAGAAGAATCTATTCAGTGAGAGCAGTGGAGGTATTGTATCCCCTTCTCCAGAACCTGTTCAGGAAGACCCTGGTGGGTCATCAGGTGTTGATGACGTAGCTGCTGCAGAGGTATGTTGTCTAGTAGATTACATGGATATAGACAGGTCAAGTTCCACGCACTTAAGTCTTGATCAACTTGTGCATGTCTTGATTCGAATTGATAAGGTTTTGGTGTCTTGTTCATGAAGAAACCTGATTTATTAATCTGTATATTTTCTTGTTTTTAATTTGTTTTTATTATTTTCAGTTAATGTGCATGTGCCTGAGGTGAAAGACTGAACTATATTATCTTCATAGTTATGATTATTTTTGCAGTCTTCTCCCTTTATTTTCTATGTACAGTTTGCAGAACAAAGTGGAATTGATTATCTTCCTGTACTGCATGACTTTATTAATGCAACATTTTTGTAATGTAGAATGAAACTGTTTTTTTAATGTTTAAATCTCTTATCATTATTTTCATTGTTAAAATTTATTCCTGTGTATATAATTGCTTTATCTTCCTCATTGCTGAATGCTGCAACTGCATATTATCTTCTTTCCAGATGATTTCTGACAGCAGTTATTCTCACTAATTTTCAGTTCCCTGGTTTCTGCTCAATTTTCTTTTCTGCAGACTTGATTTTTAATTAAATATTTTTCTATTGCTTGCGCTTGCATTGTATTTTAGTGCTATGTCGTATTATTTCTAGTGAGTTCATTAATTGTTTAAGTGGCCGATGATATTGTATTATCTAAAATAGTGTATTTTTTTGTTGGATTTCGTAATAAATATAACTTTCTTTTTGAATGGAGTACTTACAAATCTACTGAAATTTTCATTTGTTTTCTCCTTTTTCAGGGAAAGCCAATTGAAGTCATCAGCTCAAGAACGAAACCTGAGGAATCGTTTAGTATTACTGACTTCTTAAAATCCTTGATTCCTCCAAGAACTGAGACTATTCCTGGTCTCACTCTGGATACTCCAGATCATCCAGCGAGTCCAGGGCTTGCAAAGCCTTCATACAATGAACCTGAGATTATGAATCAACCAGCACCTGCGTATGAATATCCTCCAGCAACTACTACTTCTACTCCACTTCAGCCTCCTCCTTTGCCACCCAGTTTGTTTTCTTTGGATGATTCATCTCAGTATAAATACGGACAACCATCTGAAACGGAAGACTCGTGGAACACTAAATTACCTCCAAAATTTCCTACATGGGGAGATACCACAAATGCGGGGTGGGAACCTTCTGAAGGCAGTGATAAGGTTAGTGAGTGGATGCCTGCTATGCCTGTCAACAAAGTTACTCCTGTTGAAATTGTAGACACTCCTGAATCTCCTCCCATGTATGAAAAAGAAGGTTTTAGTGACCCAGTGGAGTATGACGACTCTGTGATTGAACCTTCTTTAATAGCGGCATCGACTGATGTCGATCATCGAACACTTGTGCCACTACCTTTAGCAAATCATAGTATTGAAGAAGCTGTGATTCAAAGTGAAGATCATTTAGAGGATACAGATCATAGACTTCTAATGCATATGACTCCCGCAAATCATGTGAAGAAGGACATAGATCATCGTTCTGTAGTACATCGAAAGAAGGATGTGGATCATCGTAATTTAATTAGTTTGACTGGGTCTCCTATGAGAGAGCCTCATGCCCCCTTAGCTCCTCCTCCTACACCTCCAAATTTACCTTGGCCCAGGGGAGATCAGGATTATAGATCGCAGTTACCTCGAAAATTAAAGGAAGGTAATCCAGCAATAGGAGAGGAAATGATGAGTGATGATGATGTAGATTACAGATTGAAGGGACCAAAGCCTAAATCTTCAGATGAGTTACAAGACAATGTAGAAAGTGTTGATATGGAAATGAGTGATGAAGAAGGAGTAGACTCCTCTGGAATTGAGGGCATATCTGTTATGAAGACGGAAATGTCTCCTATCAAAAATATTGTGACTGACATGAATAGTGGAAAGTCAACCATATCTTTTAATATAACAAGTCCAGCAAAACTCCTGGCCAGCTCTCCTCTGAACGAAATTAAAGAAGATCCTTCAAGGTCAAGGAATAGAGTTTATGGATGCCAGAGAATTCCTACCATTGGAGGAGGTACTCATTCCCCTCGCATGATGAGGTTCCCTCCTCCTGCTCCCCTAAGACCTCCTTTCCCTTCCCCCCGAAACCTGAGGCCAAATTTGCTTGCTCCACCACCTCCCCCTCCACCTTTAGCTCCTCAGTTCAATTCTGTTCGAATTCGTCCAATAACAGAACTTATTCACCTTTCACAAAATGTAAATGAAATTCCCCCTCCTGAAGTAGTTGAAGAAAATGCAATGTCGGTAGAACCACCTATTCCTATTTCCAAAGAAGTACAGCCAGAAGCTGAAACTAGTGAACCATGGAAACCTGTATCAAATGCAGAACCCGTTAGTGAAGGTTCTTCTGAAAATATTAATACCAGGCCTCTAACAGCTACTCCTCCCCCACCTCCTCCACCCTGGAATTCAAACCAAGATTCTACTCCAAATAGTCCATTAGAATCTGGGAGTGATAAAGAACCTCAAAATGTTTCAGACATTAGTGATCAGCCAAATGCTGATAAAAAATGGACCCCTGAGAAAAGTGATTCTCAAGAGCCCTGGCTTAATGATAATATTCCAGAGTTTGAAGTTCATGAAGTTGAGAGATTGAACAGTTTTGATAGGGGAAGAGGCAGAGGACGTGGTGGATCTTTCATGAAGAACTTCTCTCCCATGCCTTCATCACCACAAGGTGGTCCTCGAGGTGGTTTCAACCACCGAGGTCGGCCAGGTTGGGGTCCTCGACGAGGAGGTCCACAAGTGCCTCCACCCCCTCCTCCTCCCCCACCTCCTCGGTTTCCTTTTCGTCCTCCCATGGACTCGTTTCGAGGTCATCGTGGAGGATTTCGACCACCTTTCCGGGGAAACAATCCCAGACATTTTGGTTGGTGAAGGTCATTCAGCAGCTAAAACAGGTACAAAATCTTTTCTTCAGAAAATTGTATTATTTTTTCTTTATTCTAATCATATCTGACAAGTGATAATTATGTAGTTCGTTTCACATTACACTACATTTCTGATTATAGATGCTCCTAGGTATATCTTTTTTTAAGGAATGTGCAAAATGATTCTGTGCGAGATGTCAGTTTTTGTGCATTGGTTGCTGCAATACTAATGCGAAGTTCTCGAAGGACATTTATCAGCTAAGAAGAAAAATGCAGTGGTGGATTATTCTTCATATGTTCAGTGAAGAATGTTTGTATGATGTGCCTCATGTTTTATTGTTTTTTTTTGTTTTGATTTCATAATCATATTGTACAGTATATTGTATTGATGAAGTGATTACATGCATTTCATCATTGTATATAGTACCTGAATGTTGTTTCTCATTGCTTATTAATTGGACATCAACAAATGTTGACCTAAGCAATGTGGAACTAATCAGTTTTATTTTATATAAGAGTAATGTACACTTTTCTGTTGCAATGAGAAAGGATGATTTTGCTTTCTTGAAGAGATGAGTCACAATGTTAACACTTATAGTGTAACTGAAAATATTCCTATACATTTCTAGATGTAAGATGCAATTTATAATAACTTAAGTCATCTGTTTTATGTTGTAAAAAAATTGTTAATATTGTAATCATCTCTGTTTTAATTATTCTGTGTCATGTAGTTCAGTAAAATCATACCAGAATTGTGAACTTCATTGCAAATGCTCCTAATCTTACTTGAAGACTAGTGCATTGTATGTTAAAGTGTGTGTTTGTGTGATATAGCATAGTTTTATTTGCTTCTATAGAGTATATAAAAGAGTATATTGTTGAAATGTAATTATATACCAGAAGATGGGTTCTTGACATTGATGTCCTTAAAATCAACCCTAATGTTTGTCATCAACTGTGTAATCAACTGTTCAAAAACATTTTTTATGGTCATCACTTCTTATTTTCCTCTGAAAAGCATTTCAGGCATTCAACTCTTCTTATGGATTATATCTTGAGAGAGTAGTGAAACATCTAGTCTGATAAAATAAGCAGCAGTAAATATGAAGACTGATTTCTGCTGAATATACCCAAGTTCCAAAGGTTATGTTGATAAAACAAGTTTCCTTCAGGCACATTATTTTCTTATTGAAATGCAATATTAGAGTTGATTGTTTCTGTTAATTACAGTTGTTACAAAAGTTACTCAAATTTTACTTAAATGAAATTTTAAGTATGCATATTTTGCTAGCATCATCCAGATATAAACAATAACATCTTAATGTTATGAACAATCTTTTGATTTTGTTGAAACGCTTAGCTCTTTAATGGAGTAATTTTTAGTACATAAAGCATTTTCTGGAGCAAAAGTACACTTGTCTTCAGGAAGAAGTCTTTTAAGATTTTACATTGTTTGATATTTGGGTCAGTCTTTTATTATGAATCTGTAAAGTTTAATTCACAGAGAGTATACAGGGAAAAGTATTAGACATGTTACAGATACAGGACATAAAATGTATTCAAGGCAAAAATGTGTTGGTGGAACATATGTTGCATTTATGGTAGCACTGTTTTATGTGTATGGAGTCTTACTTGAATAAAGCACATCATGTAGTAAGATGTACAATTTCGAAAAAGGGATACCTTTTGTTTAACCATACAGTTTTACCAACTACACATTAGAAGATTTGTTTACTGGCACACTTTATTATTTATTTTACTTTTTTATACATCTCCTCATTAGTCTACATCAGATATCCTAATCACATGGTGGAGCAGGAAATATGTGGTATGTTGGCTTGAAAAATAAACTCTGCAAAGAGAAAGTTTTCAGTAAAAACATTTTTTCTTGAAAAAATCCTTTGAACTTCAGTCTGTTTTTTTTTGTTAGGTCTGTAACACAGCTGTGCAAGCTTAGTAGTTTGAAATTGCATTTGAGAAGGTTGTACTGTTTCCAAACTTTTCTCTGCTGATGTAAGTGTTTTCAATTCAATTAATTAACTCATATTTGTTTTAATGGGTTGGAGCAAAATGCCTAGTAATTCTAATTTTGGTAACGCATTGGGAGGTTGGGTTGAAATTTAGTGTTCTAAATTTGGGCAAAGATGTACGTTTGATTTTTTATTGTAAGTTTACAGTTAAAGTATTTAAATGCTTTCCTTTTTGATCTATACTTTTTAATTAATTTTTAAAAATAAATTCCTACCAGATTATTTAATTTACTTTGGGCATGTCTTTCCACATTAGGATGTCATTTGTTTGATAATGAGGATCTGAAATTCATCACTTGGCTAGAAATGGGTAAAATAATAAAATATTACAATTGCTTTTTTGGGTAAATCCTTATGAAGATGATAACAACCTAGCTTAAATGCATTTTAACAAAATGTTTTCTCTCTGATTGGATATAAGTTCAGCTAGGATTTAAATTAAATTTTGTAATAATTTGCAGTTTGATAGATTTTGGAATATTCTACATAATTAAGATTGTTCTAATGAACTTGCCCATTTAATCTTTAATTTGATCTAGAAATAAGAAAGGAAGTTCATTATTTGGCAATGTATTCCATTGTTTGTAGGCATGGGTTAAAATAATGAAACTGGTTTAGGGAACTCTGGAATCAGTGCCCAGAAATGTAATCATCTTTCCCTTTAGCCTGCTATTCATTACATTGATGTTGATACTGCTTGGTATGCTCAGAGTAACTAACTTAGTGAATACATTTAGGGAACCTATAATTTTTTTTTTTTCAATGGGTATGTATTTCAGTCTTCTAAAGATTTTTTTTTTTTTTTCCCCAAGTGTTCAGGATTAATTTTTCAAGAGAAAACCTGTCTCTGAGAAGTTAAGCAACTAACCACTTTGTCAGAATTTATTATTCAGGCTAACAAATGATGTGACATACAATATATTGTTTTGTAATATTCTTAGAGATACTGTTCTTGCAGTCTTGTACTCAAAAGTGAATAGTTATTTCAAGAGGATTAACACCTCACTAAAAATATTTCACTTTACACATATGGGGTGATATGACTTACAAAAATTTGTTGATCAAGTTTTGTGGGTAATGTTGAGTCATAGATATGTTAGTGAACAGTAGCACAATTCAAAAACTTATTTTTTTAAATCTCTTTTGAGTAATGGTTATAATTTTTAACTACAAGTTTCATGTGCTTAACTGTTGAGTAAAACCTTGTCTGTCTGGAAGAGATGTCAATCTTTGTTTTACTTGGAGGGGAAAATTGACAATTGTTTATTTTGAAATCTCTTTGTTTTAAATGGAATATTCCCCTTCCCTTTTAAGAGATCATATTTATAATGTTTTTTAAGAATTGGAGAATTGTGAATGAAGACTTCTGAAAATATTTGCTTATCTATTATAAATGTTGGATTTAATGAAGTCTGAAAATCAGTCCCAAATTTCTTTTGGAAACTTTCATGCAATTGTTTGTTTACCAAGAAATTGTGAAAAGCTCCCTTATTGAATTTTATTTTATGTCATTATTAGAATTTTTTCTGAAAAATCCAAGTCATTGAACATATCTACATTCTGGTTACAAAGCTCTATTGTATTGTATACTTTTCATTATTAATTTTTTAGTCATTAATTAAATGGTGACAACAAATTGTCAATCCATCAAATAAGTGCCATGAATCTAGTTTATTTAATGTTCTACATAATGCAGTTTGCATCGTACAAAGATAGTAGTCTTACTTTTTCTGATCTCATTAATTATTTAGAAAAATTGTTTTAGATTTATACAATTTTTTATTGCTATTCCCTGTAGTTTTCTGTGAATTAACTTAGTACTATTTTAAATTAGGTGGTTACATGAATTTTAAATGTAATAGTTCATTATGTATTACTTTTATTTTTCATGTTTTAATCATGTGAAGAAAATTCACTTTTTGTGCTGTGGAATTTTATGTTTTTCTATTTGTCTGAAAGAGCCTCACATTTTTAGAGGCTTTTTTTTTAACTGGCAAAAGGCAATGTATTCTTATGAATTTGTTTTTACCTTGATTGCTTCTCTGTGTTCTAATCTAGATATTTGATTTATTCATGTTTCTTCCCAAAGTAAAGTGTACCATTTGTGATGGAATTTGTATATTTTTAAAACCTAATGTCTGTGTATTGTTCTTTGTGATATGTGCTGCGAGGCATTTAAAAAATTGACACCAGTTTACATAGTATTTGTCTGGGTCATGCTTTTTGAAGTTTCCTTACAATTTTTGAATTTTTTTAAAAAATAATTTGGGAAAATATTAAAGGTTTTTCAGTTTCTGTTACTATTGTCAAAGATACTGCAAATTTTAACATTCTTGTGTGATCAAAATTTAATATTCTCATAAAATTTAGTATTCTTATGTGTTCCTTTTTTCAAATTATCGTTTGGCTGATTAATTTTTAGTTATCTTACACATTTACAATTTTTTATCATTTACTTGAAAGGTCAAAACTTTTGATTATATGCAATATTATCGGAAAATGAAAGATGCTGATAGAAATAGATGCAGACTGGTGAGAGGAAGAGGAAGAAAGCAGGAACCACATTGGACATGAACTTCAACCAATGCACATGCCATTGACAAAATGGTGTCTAAACCAGAAAATAAAATGGCATCATAACGAACCAGTGATGACACGTGTAGATCTATCGTTACTTTCACTAATTTCGGGAGGAATTAATAGAATAAAATTAACTCGTATCTGTTCGTAAAGTAAGCATGATGACGTCCGAACGGTCGCCAGGAATCGGCATTTGTTTGGAAACGTTTGTTATTTATCTAGAGGTTTATGATGTTTCGTGTCAATTTTAATGCGTATGCGGGAGTACTTGACAATGTTTTTATTTTGGAAACGAAACTGATCCGTAATCGAACAAATAATATATTAATAGATTTTCATTTTTATTATCCAAAATGATCGCTTTTAGCTTCAATATCTCCCGATATATCAGACACCAATGCTCCCAAAAACACACGTTTATGTTCTGGCAGAATTAATAGGTTGGGAAGTATCTATGTCATGCGCCCTGTAGGCGCCATTTTTGTTTCAATCGTGGAGGGGCCTGCTTCTACGCGGACGCAGTTTTATTGACTTTTGGTTTGAATGTGGGCGGCGAACTCAAATTGATTCATTTGGTTATTAAGTTCAAATGATAACAGTTGACCATATTAATTGGAATTAAGAATGAATATTGGTAGAAATAAATCTTCTAGTCGGGTTTTTGAGAATAAAAAAACGAGCTATTTAAAAATTACTTTTTGTACTGATGTACGGGCTCTACGAAATTTTATTTCAGAAGTACTATGTCCAGTGTTATTTCCATTACTTTCCAGGACCCAGGGCAATCCTAATATAATTTGTGTAATTGAAACATACATTATTAGGGTATATTACACAGCTGTCCCTTTGTTCCAGGTCCCGTTTCCTGACTAAAGAATACCAGGAACTACACTGCTGAGTAACGCGTGTGTTTAGTGTTCCTATTATTGTGCTTTGTAAAAAAGGTGATAAAGCGCGTGTTGGGCAGACCACGGCTATGCGCACATGGTGAAGATAGTTTGGTAAGTTAGGAGAGCTAATTCAAAATTTGCATTTGAAGTGGATGTAAAGAGTTCGCAAGTGTGCATAGTTGAAGTTTTAATGTTCATAGTTTACTTTTAATGTCTGAAACCGTAAGTTACGTGTACTGTTCCAATTGCTTGAAATTGTGCAGTTTGTTAGTGTTGCGGAATTTCTGATAGTGACATGCGGAGTCACTGGTTTATTATTTTGGCACGTATAGGGCGGCCGCGGGGACGAATTCCACGTGCCGGACGTTTATCTTGGTCGTTTTATTTTATGTCTGGCTCTGTCGTATCTCTGTACACGCATTGCGTCAAATGCGTACGAGCGCCTTTCCTGCAGAATTCAGTAGCCAAGATGTTTTCGCTTCTTGGCAAATGCCCATACGTGTGGATTCTAGGACTTAAGAATATCTGCAGTCGCAACTGCACTGTCCAATTTGCCATCAATTCACACTGAAGACAAAAGATTACTCAAATTTCTGAATATGTCAATCACCAGTGTTTTATATATTGTCAAATCTACGTTTGAGATGTATTGTTTGCTATTTTATGAATGTTCTCCCCGTCCAATTCATATTTCGGGCTTGATGTGGTATCCTGAAGATATCTTAGATAACGTTTGACTGACGTAATTACTCACCAACTGACGTAGTCCTTGTACTTGTATTGACGGATTAATTATGTCAATTTATGTGCATGTGTTTAAAATCATCTACATGTATAGTCGTGATTCAACTTTTTTGAAGTATAACCTATATTCACGTATCATTTATTAACCAATGATGTCAATCGCAGCGAAATCCTGAAATACGTAATGAATGGTATTTTGATTTAGTTTGCATGAGTGCCGTGTGGTAGCGCTGGTGTGGCTAAACTGAGAACGCGACCAGCAGGTGGTTCAGGTTGCGACCTTTAGATATCGCTGTAATTCTGACTTACGGTAGTCGTTTGGCCTCTGGTTTTGTTGGTTGACACCGAGAAATTTCACGTGGCAGTGTTTCAAAATGCAAAAGTTCTAAATAAAAAACAAAGAAAAACAGTATTGATCATTAAAAATAGCATTTTGATTCCTTCGCAGTACGACGATATCCCATTATATATAGTTAAATTTAGTAAACAAATGTGTAAATAAACAACAGTAATATTTGGTATTAACATCACTTGCTGTTAAATCCCTCGTAATACTTTGTTACTATTGTTTTCATCAGAAGTATGTACATTTCGTGTAGCCCGCAAAATATCCCGCGTTTTTTTTTACATTGTTTATTTCGTGCGCTTGACAATAACAGGTTGTCGTGAGAAATTCTGATTCTGCTACCATTAATGAAATAACATGTGCACACGCCATGAACTATTGTGTTAATGCTTGGCTTTATTCCCATTTTTGTTGCCTTGTAACATTTTGCCAACTTTTCCTTTTACATTGGAGTTTTCTAGATTATTATCAATGATATATTTTCGTTTCAATAGTAAGTTGCAGAAGTTTACTCTTAACATATCTTTTTGTCACATTTTTTAAGACTTTATTTCATATTTACTGCACTTTTACAGGAAATTTTGAAACGGCAATATCTGCGTAAATTGAATCAGCAGATTTTTCGTCCGGTTTTCAGCCCCTGACCAACCAAAGTGTGTTACGACCAACAAAGGGGCATAAGAGATCTATCAGTGGAAGTGATTTGAATATGCCTGGCCTTCGCTGTTTAAGGTGCACAAATGTTTTTTACATTATTTCTCTAATTTTATTTAAATGCTGGTGGAGAAGATGCCGTCAACGGTAAGTGTAGAGAAGTGAGCACTATATTTTTGTTCTTTAAGAAAGCGTGCCTTTCAATTTTATTTATACTTGCAACAACTTTTGGAGAATGATGTTACGTTGTTAAGTTCGGAAATATTTAAAAAATAAGCATTCCGAGTCTTGTTACGGTACGTTCAGAATAGTTGCAGGTCGGCTTAGGCAGACTTTAAATATCTCAGGTTTGACGGAAGGGAACTATCCCAATCGAGAAGGGAGACTCTCCGCTAGTTAGCAAGTAGGTGGAGATTTTCTTTTTGGATCTTATTGTACGTATCACAAACATTGTGTAAAACTGTCCACATCGAGAAGACTGCTTTCTTTATCGGAATGTCATTGATCTCATTCAGTCCTGCCGTCAGACAGTTATGTGCTTTTTACATGTTACAGTTCTTA